TATATAGTATATATATATAGTATATATATAGTATATATATATATATCTATATATATATTATATATATATATATACACTGATGATGGCAGTCGATGCCGAAAAGAGCTTTTCTGTAGTAATAACGTTATTGATAATGTTTTGTCAAAAATGTCAAATATTAAATGCTTTTTATTTAACTTTAATAAACTTCATCAAGATGATAAGTCTCGTTAGAAAAATTGAGAAACTCAACTACAAGTTAAATAATGCCGAAGACGCCGTGAATAATGGTATTGAAGTCTAAACCTTGTAGATTATGAACATGGCGGCGAGGTCACTTGTAGTGAATGAATTACTTTATTTTCTAGAAAATAATTGGAATTCGGTTCAAAATGATTCGTTCATTAATAATGTTTCTGAATTTTATTCTCATGACGATATTACTTCAGCAACGAAAGTTCTAAAAAACGAAATTTATACGTTTAAAGCGGATAAAATTGAAAAACCGCCAGCACGTGGAAATATGAAGTCTGACAAATTATTAGAATGTATTTGGTTAATGAAATATTTAAAGGATAACAACTTATGGAACAATTGCCCGATTTTTGTTAGTGCTAAATTGGATAAAATTCCTAAAATTGAAAATTTTTTAACGATAAATTTCGGAAAAATAAGTTGTGAAATAATGTCTACACTAAGTAAACAACAGTTATTGTTAGACAAAGCTATTGAAACTACTGCTGCTAATACTTCGGAAATAAACTTGTTAAAATCTAAATTTAATTTAAATAATGAATGTAAAGTCGTTGAACGTGAAAAAACACAACAAACAGCTTTGAATAATATTAATTTAAAAGATGAAAACAAAAATGTTGTTTTTGAAAGAACACAGCAAGCAATTTTGAATAAACCTCTCTGGTCTGAAATTCTTCAGTCGCCGAGAACTGAAAACGAGGAACCATTTATAACTGCTAACCACAATAAACCCAGGAGTTTCATTATTGGCAATAACACGAAGGACGGTGGTAAAATGCCTCTCTTAGCAGCGACCAAATATGACGTACCCACAAAAAAACCACGAGTGAAAATTATTGGCAAAAAAGTGGTTGAAAATAGTACATTTAAAGCGGACAAACCTCTCATTAAAAAAAGGTATTTTGTCTCAGTAACATCAAAAGTTGCCATAAAAATGATGTCGTTGACTACCTGTCTTCCAATGGTATTAACGTTATATCCTGTTTTCCTGTGCAAAAATCAGTCAACAAGAATTCATCAGTTTCAGCAAATTCGAACGAAGGCGACAATTCAAATAATCACACGTCTGTTGAAAATAGAGAAGAAAAAGAAGCAACAACTTTTAGAGTTTGCATTGCCAGCTAAGATTCAGAGAAGATAAAGGATCCTGAAATCATGCTAGAGCATGTAATAGTTCGTGAATGGCAATTTGATAAGAAAAGGGAAATTTTTCGTGAAAAAACTAACCTTAATGAAAAAAACTTGTAGAGTATTGGATTCTGTCAAAACATTAGTAGCTAAAAATGACACACATGGAAATAAATATGAAAAAGTTACCGATGGTAATGTTATTTTTGTGAGTGATGGTGGGTTGCATGATGATAATGTTGCGGTGCTACTGTTGGGGACGGAGGCTTTGATCTGGTTGGTGAGTCTACTATGGTGCATGATGTTGCGAAGTATACTTGTGATTTTCCAATGAATGACATGCGTGGAAATATGAATGGAAAAAACTTAAGTTCTAATAAAAATTTGGTGAATATTGTTAGAACTGATAACTTTTTTAATACTAATAATGATGAAACATTAGGATTTGACGCTGTGGATATTAAAGCAAATGATGTTTACAAATGTACAGTGAATACTAGTAAATACTGGTGCTGTTGATGCTTCGGCTGTTGGCGAGGTTGTTGTGGGTGACGTTTGTAGTGTGGTGGATATGAGTGGTAATGCTGTGAA